AGCTTGAATGTTTCGGGAGCCAGGTCAATTGGAGATACTGAATTGGAAACGGGTAAAGAACAATGCCCATCTGGCTTGTCTGGGGTTTAGTCTCTTTGCTTATCTTAAATACTGTAGATTATTACTGTAGATTATTATGATCAGTGAGGACAACGAAAGGGTGACAAGCTTCCTCTAACCAGTGCCTCCACTCTTCCAGGGCGAGCTTAATGGCCAAAAGCTCATGATTCCCAATGTCATAATTTGGCTCCACCGGGTATAATTTCTTTTAAAAGAAGGCACATGGAAGGAGCTTTGCTGACTTCTGCTGCTGTGACAAGACTGCACCCACTCCCGTAGTAGAAGCATCTGCTTCAACCACGAATGGCTTCTCGGGGTCAGGGTGATTTAGGAGTGGTGCAGTAGTGAAGGCGGTTTTCAGGGCTTACATGGCTTCTTCAGCTTCGGGGGTCCAGAACAGAGACTTAGGCCTTCCTTTTAACAGTGAGGTGATGGGTGATGTCAGGATACTGTAGTTTTGGATGAATCGGTGGTAAAAGTTCACAAATCCAAGGAATCTCTGAAGTTCTTTCTCCATGGTAGGAGTGGGCCAAGAGGTAACAGCAGATAATTTCCCCTTGTCCATTTTGAACCAGTTCTTGCATACTATGTAACCGAGGAAGAGGATGGTACTCCAATGAAAGCTGCATTTCTCAGCTTTGAGGAACAGATTGTACTCGCGGAGCCTCTGGAGGACCTCCGAAACATGCCGGCGATGTTCAGCCAGGCTTCAAGAGTAGATAAGAATGTCATTTATGTACACGATTACAAATCGGTTCAGGAAGTCCCGAAGCACCTCATTCATGACGTCCTGGAATACGGAGGGGGCGTTGACCAAGCCTTACGGCATAATGAGGTACTCATAGTGCCCAAATAGAGTAATGAAGGCGGTCTTCCACTCGTCCCCCTCATGTATCTGGATGAGGTTGTAAGCACTTCGGAGGTCCAACTTGGTGAAGATGGAGGCTCCCCGAAGTTGCTCCAAAGCAGCTGGGATGAGGGGAAGTGGATAACGGAATTCAATGGTTATTTTGTTGAGTGCCCAATAGTCAATGCAAGGCCGCAAGCCTCCGTCCTTTTTTTTTGTAAGGTGGTAGCTTGGAGGCTCATTTTGGGCAAAAGACGACGGCTTCTTTCGGTAAAAGACAGCTGGGTATTATCCACTAGCATGGGTTCTGGTTTTGAAGTGTCAGATTTCTCTGACTGGAGATGTTGTAGGGAGGACTGCAAGTTTGGATCAGCCTCTAAGTAGCTTTGCATGTGGCGAGCAACTCAAATGGAATGTTGGATACACTTCTCAAGTCATATGGTGTCATCGTAAGTGGCCAATTGCAAACGAAGCACTGTATTTAGCCCCTGGCGATAAGTGGTGAGAAGAGTTTGTTAGTTCCATCCGCTTGCAGCAACGAGAGTTCGGAACTTCAGGGCGTAATCTGTGATGGAACTGCTTCCTTGTCACAGGTGGTAAAGTTGGTCACAGACAAAGGAATCTCCAACTGGATGACCAAAAATCTCTTTGAAATGAGAAACTACATTTTGAAGAGACGCAGTAAGAGGATCAGCTTGATACAACATTGTAATTTCTAATGCCATTGAGCATTGTAGAAGAAAACCATTGCAGTGGGTAGAATGACAGAAAATGAACGAGCAGCGGCAAGAAGATGAAGGTAGCAGTCCTTATATGTTTACAGGAGGCAAAGGGGATGGAAAAGCACACACCTCAGCGACTGGACAACTGGGTCAGTATAGCAGGTAAATATCTTTGTGAACAGATGTGGAGAACCAGGAATCTTCACAGGAATACGCAGAGACCAGGTAAGCGAGACTTTCCTTGTTTAAGGCCAGACTGAGGCTGAGGTGTGTGCTTAAGTAGTGCACTGATGAGGGAGTAATCACTGACAGGTGCAGGAGGTTAGTACTAAGGTGACAGGGAACGCTGGGTAATGGAAGTGAGAGAGCTTGGCAGATCTGTGACATGTACTGTATTTTTGATTTTTGAATAAATGCAGCCTTGATGAGCATGAGAGAATTTTAAAATGTTTATACCAATGTCACATTTATTATTGATCAATTATTGACCAATATAACAATTATCCCTGCTCTTCCCTTCTTTTCTTACTAATAAATAAATAAATTAATTAATAGTGTTACTGCTACAACCCAACACAGTTTTATATGGCTATGATAAGGATTTGATTTTTGTTGATTCTGTTTCCACCTGCTTTAGCATTATTATAAGCCCTGCTGTTTCTCTCCCACCAGAAGCTGAAATATTTCACTTATTCCACGTATTACTGCAGCGAGCAGTGTCTAAAATTAAGAAATTGAATAAAACATGACTTAATAAATAAGTCGGCATATGCCTGGACTTCGGTATTGTTTCCTGCTCGGTTGGATTTAACAGGGTGCTGTCACTCATCTCCACACTGAAAAAACATCTGTGCGTTTGAGGACCTGGGAGAGCGAGGGCCTTTGCCCCCGCTTCAGGCGTCTTTTCAAATGCCAGTTAAGATTCCATCAAAGGCCTCCTCACAGGAGCCTGTCCAGGAGTTCAGGACCAAGAGGGACTATGTGTTGTTTCAGAGAGCAGTAGTTCACCTCTCTCCCCTCTCTCAGCTGGGCTTTTCTCCATCTGCCTGACAGATGTCCATGTGTTGGATAGGAGCGCAGGTCAGGAAACTCACTAAAACATCTCTCCATTAAAGTCTGTATGAGACACACTTTGGAAATCTCCCCGTTCAGTGGAGTCATTGGAGACAAAAGCTCTTTTTATGGATCTTCTGTAACTATACACTCTGGCTGATTATACAGGCTTTAGATCAGATCGTTGCTACTCAAGGGGATTTGCTTCCGATTTTACATTGAACAATGTGGAAGAGGGACCACAATTGGGGGATTTTTTTTTTGGTGTTTTTTTTTTTTTTACCATGGCTTAACTATATGTAAAATACCTAGTCTGAATAAAAATTTTAAAAAAAAGATATATATATCCGTGTGCATATATAATATAAAATTATAGAATTATAAATTATAAAATTAAATTAAATAAAACATAATTTCTATTATATTCATAAAATAATTCATAATTATAGATGTAATTATTAATTATAAATAAAAATAATACTAGATAAATTATGGAATTATTTTATATATTTAATGTATATTATATATATATATAATGTATGTTATATATATATATATATATATATATATATTTGCCTCCCTTTTTTAAATTTAGATTTGGCACAGTTTATTTTGTTCTTTGCTTTTAGCCATTTTTGGGTTGTGACCCACCTGTTTATCAAACTACTGCTTTAGACAACCTTTTAAAGACAAAATCTTATATATCTATCCACTCACAATTCAAAACAATTCCCATAATTCAGTGAAAACCCAAATAAAAAGCCACATAGTGAACTAAACTATTACCAGGAATATATTTCTTTTTTTTTTTTTACCATGGCTTAACTATATGTAAAATACCTAGTCTGAATAAAAATTTTAAAAAAAAGATATATATATCCGTGTGCATATATAATATAAAATTATAGAATTATAAATTATAAAATTAAATTAAATAAAACATAATTTCTATTATATTCATAAAATAATTCATAATTATAGATGTAATTATTAATTATAAATAAAAATAATACTAGATAAATTATGGAATTATTTTATATATTTAATGTATATTATATATATATATAATGTATGTTATATATATATATATATATATATATATATAGAGAGAGAGAGAGAGAG